AAGTGTGTGATGCGGACTCAATTTTTGATTAAAGTAAAGTTTAGAAGCCATAAAGCAGAGAAGCGCCGTGACGGAGTTATGTACCATTTACAAAATCTGCTGGCAGAAGCTTATCACTATAGGTGCATAGAATACCAGATGTCCGGAAGATGCTGCAATCCTAAAGACTTTATTGAAAAGATTAGAGTTTCTGATTTTTTGCAGAACTAAAATAGAATGCAAGTTGGGTCAGATTGTCGGCCAAGAGGAGACGCCATCACTCAATAAAACCTTCTCTCATACGCGCAGAGAAAGCACGGTGTTGTTAGAAACCAAAGTCGCAGAAAGCTCAGCAATGTGATAACAAAATCGTATGGAAGGAGAAGGTAAGATACTTCAAAATTCAAGACAGGATTCACTTTGGTGCAGCTATGCAAAAAGTCGCACACAAAAGGAAACGTGCTGGAAAATACATGGAAAACCCCCAATAAGGGTGGAATTCAAAGGGTGAAACAGGACCATCACATGCCAACAACATACAAGTAAGCCAGAATCCGGTCAGCCTTGAAGGAATTCAATAATATAATTATTGATACAATTGAAACGGCTCCGGTATTTCTTGAAACCAATGTCATCTTCACTGCACTCTCAGAAGGACTCCAATTTCTTTTAGTTTAAGTGCTTCCAAAATCATTAAAGGAATTAGGATCATTGTTCATGAACCACAGATCACATGGACCCACTCACCTACCCCTCATAAACTATATACTCTGCCCAAACAACAGAAATCTCACTGGCTGATGGTTTTCTTTACCACAGTAGCTGCCAAGGAGACAATTTTAAATCTTCCTCATCCTGAAAAATGTTCTCCACGTCCACAATTATTCACAAACTAATTCATTACAAAAAACTTACCAATGACCATAATGTTCAGCCTTATTTAACCCTACTTATTGCTTATTTAGGACCAGAGATCGGGGAGAGATGGACTGCTAAGAAGACAGATTGTACTACCTAGAAGACCAAAACCAATCTAATAATTGCTTCTATATTATCCCAATGTCGTAGGAATTCACTATTTTTTATTCGCTTATGGCTTCATCTATAGACTAGGACACCTCTTTCATGTCCTAAGACTATGTATCCATACTTTTTCAGCAGAAATAAAAATAAAAATTTTTTGTGAAACCTATGAGTTGGCTAACTAACAGTAACCTCATGCCCAAACAAAAGTGAGAGGATTGATACTCCTTCTACCTTATTCATGTATATATGTGGACCTCAAATCCCAATATCTCTGGGCACACTTGTTTCTGTCATTTCATTGATGATGCGCACTAGTCTTTTGAATCTATCTCCTTATAAAATAAATCTGATGTCTAGCTACACAGTATATACTCATCTTGTCACTTGTCCACCCCCCCCCCCCCCCCCCCCCCCCCCCCCCCCTTATCACAAATCAATTCAGGGTAAAAATAAGGAGATTCGCTCCGATAATGCCAAAGATTACTCAACCAAACCCTTTCTCCTACTTCCAAATGAAGAGATTCCATGAGTCTTTGTGTTACACCCCACACAAATGGGTTGCAGAGAGGGTACTCCACTCGAGCTTCCCTATTTCTACAATAACAAATCCTATGGGGGAAGCTCTTTAACTGAGTCTATCTATTAAACTGACTACCTCATAGCCTAGGCGGTCAAAACTCAAATGGAGATTCTGTTCCTCTTTTTACCCCGAGTTTTAACCCTCTAATCTTATGCCCAAAATCTTTGGATGCACGCTCTGTTCTATTCACGCAGGAGAGGAAAATTAGTCCAAGAGCACTCAATTGTCTTGTTGGCTATTCAGTACCCAAAAAGTTGTAATGTTATCACCCACAGAAAATCATTGTCTCTTAGTTACCTTGATGAGCATTCCTATTTTTCAAATCTCATTCTTCAGGGGGAGATTGAACTTGAGGAAGATGAGAAAAATAACTAGCACATCTTGACCTATCCACCACTCAAACCATCCTACCTAAACCCAAATAGGGGAAACAAATGAAAAGTTATCATTACGATTTTGAAAATGTTTACTCCAGAGTACAAGCTCAAGCTGTGCTCCAAAGCAAGATCCAAGATCGACCATCTCCGTAGAAATAAGATAAGCTCCACCACCTTCCCTTATACATAAAAAACTCTATATCTTTCAACAACTTCTCATGGTCACACAAAAATTTTGATACATAGAAGAATTATTCTAAAGATATGTTCTGAGGCCTAGCTGATTAAAAAATTGAAAAAATGCCATGGATGAGAAATGCGAGGCGCAGAAGAAAAACTGGGAGATCGTCAATTCGATAGGGAAAAAACTGGTCGTGCAAATGAGTTGTTCTAGTAAAAATACAAAGCTGATGGACACTAAGAGAGATTTAAGCAAGACTAGTGGCAAAGTACCCAAACATATTGGCTTGACTATCAAGAAACGTTTGCGCGTAAGACCAAGATGAATAACTGTCATATACTACCTCACTAGCAGCCAAGGTCACGGCATCTGGAACAACTGGCTGTGTAAATGCATTTGATGGGGGATTTAGAAGAAGGATTTATGAAATACCACCAGGGTTTAAGAAAAATCTGAAGGTAACGGTGTGCAGACTGAAAAACTCTATTTGGGCTCAAACAATCACCAAGGGCTGGTTCGAGATTTTCTAAATTCATGCTCCTTAATGCGTATCGACAGGTCAAGGGGATTACA